CCCCCCCCCCCCATTACCCCCCTCTTATATATAGAGGTTTACTCTAAATTGGCCTAAATTTCATGGGCTCGGGAAAGCATTCTGCCAATGATGTATGGCAGAAAAAATATTAATTGTCAAGAAAATGTTTTTACATGATATCATGTAAAGACTAAACGAGATAGACAATAAAGATATATATATATATATATATATATATATATATATATATATATATATATATATATATATATATATATATATATATATATATATATATAGACGCTTGTTTATCAACCCAATTCACAACTTTGAATAACCCATGCATGCGCCTATACAGGTTGTTTAAAAAAAGGAGACCTTTAGAAATTCATGACCTGTTGTTATAATTTGAATGCCTGAGTACTACAGGGTGTCCAAAAAAAAACCAAACTAATGAAATAACGTATTGTTAGAATTTGAATGCCTTAAATTAGCACCAAGCTGAACGCAAAGATGTGTAAAATATTGACAGGGTGCATATATTATAAGTATTGACTTATTAAGGAATTAAAATATCTTTGTAAAGCGCACAATTTTCTGCTCTTGGGAATTTAAAGCAGCTTCTTAAAGGCCCATACAGACCGGACGCTATTTGGCAACGCGACGCGAATTTTCAATATTAAAGTTAAAACTTTATTATTTTTCTATGTTTTTCAAATATTCGGAACCACTTAAGCAATTTTAGCTATTTGGTCTGCATATGTTGTAAAATTTCAGCATGAGCTCCACCTTTGAATTTCCTTTATGAGTAAATTCTTAAACACGTCCGAATTTATCATTATGATAAATTCGCGGCAAATTTTGAATTTATCATAATAATAAATTCGCGGCGCCTAACACTAACACTAACCCCAACCCTAACCACTCACCCCTAACCCTAACTTTTTAAACTTTTTAGTTTTTTTAACTTTTTTAATTAACTTTTTTAAAAATCTAACTTTTTAAACTTTTTTTGCTTTTTAAAACTCTTTTAAAAACTATTTTCTTAAAAAACTCGCGCGGAGCGGAATTTCTCTTTGACTTTGTCTTTTCTAATTAGTTCCACCCGACTGAAAACACTGAAGACAAAGAAAAATTCCGCTCCGCGCGGTAAATTCCGCCTAGTGGAAAACGGCCTTAAACAGTAAAATATGCATAAAATTTACTTATGTCAAGCTTTTATGCACTTGTGAGTTCATAAAATTCTAACAATACGTTATTTCAATACTTTGGTTTTTTTGGGACACCCTGAAACATTGAATAGAACAAAGGTAACTAGAAGGATGAGGATTATCTCCATGAGTGAATAACTAATTAGTCTTATACATAACTCTGCGGCTTAGTTATACAGTATATAATTAATAGAATAGATGGTTTGGAAACTCATTAGAATAACAATATAACTCATTATCTATGTATTAGAATAACAATATAACTCATAATCTATGTTAGTGAACGTTTATTCATAAATCTGGTCCGTGTGTATTGTACTTTTGTCAAATTAATTAACCAATAGCAATGTTTTAGGAAAGTTACCTATCCGTGACTCGATAATAGGGTAAATTGGAAATTGCTATTGGTGGATTTGGCAAAGATACAATGCACACGTAACGGTGAAGGACCGTATTTATGAATAAACGTTGACTAACATAGATGAGTTGTATTGTTATGCTAATGAGTTTCCAAACCATCTATTCTATTAACTATGAATTAACTATTCTATTACCTATAAACTATGAATGATGTTTGTAGATGCAGCGACAAAAGAGAAGAATCTTCTTCGTTCAATGGGAATTCCTGCAACTATTTTTTGTTCAATGTCTACAGTTGACTATGAATTTTCAAAGTACAGCAGCAGCAGAAGATTACTTTTGTTTCAACTCACTTCTTGAAGGTCAGATATGTTCCTTATGGTTTATTATTTTTCAAACGGCAACGGACTCAATGATTAAAACTTGATGAAGCCAAAATGTGCGATTGCTTTCACCACAGTGAAGAAATTGATCGTAAAGAATCAAAGTGGACTTGTTTTTCCATTTTTTTGTTTACTCACGTTTTCATTAAATTTTACCTTAGTTTCCAGATCATGGGTAAAAGCTTTTAAAAAGAGTACGTGCATGTCATCGCGTTCCAGCTCGACCTCCAGTGTATATTGCATTGAATTCATTGCATGTATGCATGAATGCAGCATGACGTTTTCCCTATTGCACTCGCAGACTTTGTACAGCTAATTTCATGTTCATTTATCATGCTATACGGAACGCTCTCCGAAATACTATATGATTTATTATCGACACTTCTTTCTGTGGCCGTACTTTAAAACGCCACTTATCTCAAGCAGGGTCTTTTTTAAGGATTTTCCCGTGGGGGGGGGGGCATTTTTTGAAAAGGGACCTTTCTGTGAGATAATATATTAGAGGGGGATGGCAATGGCTGAAGGCCACGTGTGTGGCCAATATACCACGCATGATTGGGGGGGGGGGTGTACTCCCCCAGAAAATGTTTGAAATTTGAATTCCGGAAATGTCATTTCCTGCATTCTGAGCATCCAAATTTACTCTAAAATTTATGCTAACTATACTTGTATTTGAAATAAAAGAAGGAAAAAATGCACAAAAAGTAAAAAAGAATATTAACCGTAATTTATCATTACTTATTAGAGGGATAATCCCCAGAAAATTTTTGAAACTTGAAACCCGGAAATGCTATTTCCTGCGTTTTGAGCATCCAAAAAATAAGAAAATTATTAACAATAATTTATCATTACTTAGTGGTAGAAAAACGTAACAATTTCATAAATCGATTTTGTTAAACAAGGACAAAGGATAAAGCCTAAAACTTACTTTCCATTTATCTATTTGTTAATCTTCGCTGGTTTGTTTGTATAATTTTAGGAAAAAGGGACTTTTCCTGGGGGGGGGGCAAAATGTGATTTCGTGGGGGGGGGGCACAAGGGGGGACTGGGGGCATTTGCCTCCCCCCCAGCTTGTATGTTAAAAAAGGCCCTGCTTACCTGATATGAATTAAAGTGTTGTTACAGCACCACTTAAATCATCGTAAACAAAACTAGAAAAACGCAAGCCATGCAAGCTCTTTAATTGCGTTTTACCCCCTGTCACGTTTATTTTCCGGGGGCGTTGAGCGGGAGGTGCGGAGGTAAAGAGCCTTGCTTGTGTGGTTGCATAACTACAAGCGTGACTATGCAAACTAAAGCCGCAGGTGCGGACTGTAAAACAAAGCCAGACTATAGAGAGCGATGACCCAACAGTCAATGTCAGCATCTGGTCGGTCGAAAAAAAAATGACGTACAAGTACTTCAGAATTACTGAAATATTTCAGTAAATGCGAAAAAGCTCAAATGGTTACGACCTTTACGAAATGTTGTTTTTGTACGCACTTTGCGTACAAATTGAAATAAGTGATCGAATGCGCCCTGAGAAAAATCCTGCTAGAAGGACTCGCTGATTCTCGGTATGCTTGAAAGGAACATTAATCAAGTCTTGTTTTCTCTTACATTGTAGGTTTCAGATTAAACGTTACAGTCTTTCAAGTGCGAAATGTTTCTTCCAAGTTCGACTGTATGACTGAGTGCGTGCATGAGCCATGTTGTAGATCTGTCAATTATAAATACAGTTCCGAGGGACCAATGGAATGTGAAATGTTACACGAGTTGGTGGAAAATACACAATCAGATTTATTGGAGGGAAATAGTTCTTATGATCATGTTTACTTCATTAACCCACAGAAGGTAAATTACAAGAAAAAGAACAACAGGAACAACGAGAACAACAAAAACGACAAGAACAACAACAGCAGCAGCAGCAGAAACAACAGCATGCAACAGCAACAATAACAGCAGCAACAACAACAACAACAACAACAACAACAACAACAACAACAACAACAGCGACAACAACAACAACAACAACAACAACAACAACAACAACAACAACAACAACAACAGCGACAACAACAACAACAGCAACAGCATGCAGCAACAACAACAACAGCGACAACAACAGTAACAACAACAGTAACAACAACGTACAGCGACAACAGCAACAACAATAATGATGACCATAGCAACAAGAAGAATAGCAACAACAATGACGATTTCGACGACAGTGACAACAATAACAATGGCAACAACAACAACGACAACGACAGCGACAGCGACAAGGACAACAACAACAACGACGACGACAACGACAACGACAGCGACAAGGACAACAACAACAACAACAACAACAACAACAACAACAACGACAACGACAACAACAACAACAACAACAACAACAACAACGACAACAACAACAGCAACAACAGCAACAGCAACAACAGCAGCAACAACAACAACATCAACAACATCAACAACAACAACAACAACAACAACACCACCACAACATCTCATAGCAACAGAACATATAGGCCTATCAATACCTGACGTTTGCCAGATAAAGACTAACTATATGCATGCATGTCTAAATTTGCACTGAAATATAGTTTGGGCAAGTTACCCAATAGTGACAAAGGATTTATAGAATTAATATTTTTGGCAGGTGTATAATTCCAGCTGCTTTCCTAAAAAGATGGATAAAAAAGGTATGCGTGCTATGGTTATTTGATTTGTCCTACAGACTCAGAGGGTTGGATTGAAAAAGCGGACCAACAGGGACCGCAGATGATGGATCGACCATGCGATAGTGCGTTGCATCACTGGTGAGATAGTAGTAGAAAACTTATGATTATATGCTAAAATGAATACTGAATACATTTATATATATACTAAATTGCAGTGACTCATGCAATCTCATGCAAAGACGCTTTAGAGAAAGACAGGTATGTCTGTTAACGTTTGCGCTATCTTATACAGGCGGCAAGGCGAATCCGCGAATAGTGTACTTGCATTCACCTCGTTATGCTATTAAGCTGGAAGAGATTATTTCGCCGGCCTCAAAGTGACAAAACGTAACCAAGCAACTGTTTTAATAACACTAACCCTATTCCAAACACCAACTCTAACCCTAATCCCAACCCTATTCCTAACCTAACCCTACTCCAAGTTTGCTTCTAAACCAATCTTGAAGAAAAAAGTTTTGACGAAATGTCATTCTGAGGTCAGCGAAATAGTATTTTCCTATTAAGCTTGTTCGCTTGCTTGATCCCACTTTTTAATAAGTGCTTTTAAGCACTGCTTTAAAATGCTTTAAAATGCTCTGAAAATAAGTAAACATGTTGTGTTCGGACATATACCGAAAGCATACTGATTTCAACAGATGCGGAAACAAGACATTGAATTAAATTCTTTTTCCAGAATTTAATTCAAATATATATCTGAAAAATAGCACTGAATATTTTTATCACACTGGCGTTTAAATAATGTTGCTATGCTTTCAGCAAATACAAAATTGAAATAGTGATACTATAATTGATATGGCATTTATTGTTTGTATAGTTCAGCAACTGATGGCCTTTACAAACTGCAGCTGAATCACAGCACTCAGGCGGTGTGCGCACTGCGACCGCAATGCATTATTTTGGATATTTTCTTAAAGATGGCGGATTTCTAGCACGATTAAAGGTATGTTGGCGCTCTATTTTCTGCCACGTTTTAAAGTTTAAACTTTTTGTTTTTTATTAAAAAGGAAGTTACATGTAATATTGTTATGCCGTGTTACTTTTCAAATCGATAATTTTTGGAATTCGATAAAAAATATCATTTGATTGTAAACTCCTAAAACTCGTGTATTTTTCCCAAATACACTGGTCCATTTACTTTTACATGTCACAGCTTAACCGTTCACACATGACATTTAAAATTGCAATTGGCATAATCTATGACCATTATTTGTGACCATATTTAATAGCGCCCCTTGGCGCCCCTCAATATTGTATATTTTTTGGTCTTTTATCTCATGATATTTCCTTTGCTAATTTCAGGTCTTCTTGTCCAGAGTTCATGTTCTCCCGCTATTTTGGGGAAGCGTTCGTGCATCCCAGAGTCCCATACGCCAGGCAAACAAAAAACAAAGCGGCAACGAAATAATAAACGCAAAAGAGAAGCAAAAAAAAATTTCAAATGGAAAAAATAACTGTGTCAAAATGAGCAAGACACAATACACAATACACAATGGCAGACTGTTGGACAACCGAAGAACAGACTTAATGGGACTGTTTCATATTTGACAGGATCAATGACTGTCTGGTGGTGAAAAACCATTTGTGCTTGTTGGAACCGTTTCTTGTAGTCAGTTGGAGCAAATGGCAATGACTGGAACACGTTTAAATAATTTTTGTTCTCACAAGCAATTTTCTTAGCCTTATTTATGCCAATACCTCGGATATTTTCTATGTAGTCACAACCAGCTGCAATACACATATCAGTAAACTTTTCCTTGGTTAATTTTAGATGTGCTAAAATTTTTGCCATTTCCACCAAGTTACCCATACCATTTGTTTGTAGCTTAAATAGCACCTGAAATATATGACATGTATACTGTAGTCCACATTGCTGCAAAATGCCTTACCTACGGATGTAATAATACAGATAGTGTCTTGCACAAATAGTGTACAGCATTATACCTGGGCATTCACCAAGTCAATGTTGAAAATAATAGTTCTGTGTAAATTTTACCCCACCCAGGCCAGCCGATATTTAGAAGCAGGACACCCATGTCAGCAGTTTCACACAGTGTATTAATTATGTAATAGCATAGTTGCCCGGGTTTCTTTTGTTTCAAGCGGGTTCAAGTTTGTAGCGGGCGATTAGTTCTAATCGCCCGCTTAGAACTAATCGCCCGTTACCAAGGGTCACACCTTTGTCTCCCTGACGACTACGCATTAGGCAAGTGCCTCACGCACATAATCGTGCAAGGAACAGCAACAGTTAGCTCAGAGCCGTCAATAGTCTATCATCCGATCCCTGAGTTGCCGCATCATTTAAATTACGCACGTGCAGTCTCCAATTTTATACTAATATATTTAGCGTGTTTGTTGTGGTACGTTAAATGATAGATTGCGCATGCGTAACCGATTAAAGCGTAAAAAGTGCGCATGTGCAACAAGCTTTTACATCCCACAAGCAATGAAGCAAATGTTTTAGCTTTAATACGCTGATTCCAAGTAGGGCATGTTTGTCCATTTTTAAATGGGAGCGAAACTATGCTATTACAAACTAATAGCATGGCTTTTCGGGAGATTAGTGATTAAATGACCCCTTACCCTCGGCAGGTTTGCGGAATTCCCTCGGGCTTCGCCCTCGGGAATTCCGCAAACCCGCCTCGGGTTACGGGGCCATTTAATCACTAATCTCCCTCAAGCCATGCTATTACTTATAATTATGGTATGAACTACTTTGCATATGTATTTGAACTGCCAGGCTGACCTGGTTCCCAATCTGATAAAACTTTCTCCCTATAAACACAAACTGGGCTGGTGTGGATGGAAGTTCTATGAATGCTGCTGTGAGTTATGTAGAAAACCTGTTAAAACACTGTAAACCCACTACACTTGTGCTGTTTATAAAGCATATACAATCACAACAAATTTGTTATTCATATATTTTATAACACTTCATTGAACAATGTTTTACTAAGTCTATACCTGCATACATGACCACCATCATCGAAATGCAAACAAAAACATCCCATTTTATACAACAATTATTATACAACAACATGCTAGAATCCATGTATTAGCATTAACATCACACTGATATAGAGCATTTGCACATGACGTCACAGCCGCCATGTTGGTGTTCCAATTCAAAATAATTTTAATTAGACTCTTGTCTGGAACACCAACATGGCTGCCATGGCTTTTGTTGAGTTGGTCCCTGGGGAATGAGTGCAAATGCTCTATACAAGCAGGTCCTAATCTTAACACACTGCAAAACCACAGCCTCAAATCAAAGTGCTTGGGGACAAGGCTGGCAAAACCAGCATATCCATTATTCACAATAAATGCAATTTCTGGATCTGCTTCATATGGTGCCATTATGTACTGAATATCTTTTTCACAGCAAAGCTGAAAGGTGGATAATAACAAATTGTTATTTACTGCACACAACTACTTTCCAAAGTTCTTGAAAACTAGATGTGAAAACTAGTATGTGGTTCAATTTAAACCACATCATTTTTCTTACTCTCCATATATTGTTATGCAAAGCGTTTTCCTGCCAGCTGCAAATTGCCATTGCAATGACCTTTTATTACTTAGATG